CCCCAAAACCCCAAAACCCCAAAACCCCAGGGAGGGGATGGGTGATTGATGATAGGGGTTTGAGGGGGAATTATGGGTGAAAGGGGTTAGTGGAGAGGTTTTAAGGGATTTTTATGGTGGGAAGTGGGGGAGTGATTTTGGGGGTAAATTGTTTAGGGAAGAGGAATTAGGTAGAGATTTTTGAAGCTTATTGAGGTTATTGGGAATAGTTTAGTCCTCTTCGTAGATCATGAGGTTTTCAGCATATCATAAATATACTTTAAGTTTAGCCATTTCTACTTCGGTAAATCCGTTGTTTTTGAATGTGATGCTTGAGATGCCTCCTTCTATTTCTTGTTTTTCTTCTTTTTCTCTAAGGGGGAAGGGAAGGCCAGGGCAGTTAAGTAAAAGTCCGATCTGGTCTGCTTTGTCATATGTGCTTTCACCTTCTGATTCTTCATTTACAAGATCAATAAATCTCCATCCACCTTTATCTTCTTTAAGAGGTAAAGGAGGGTTAGCATATTTACAACTGATGAAATTAATTCCATAAAGTGGTCTCATTTGGAGCATAGGAGTTTTAAACTGAGTTTTTCCAAGAGTCCCTTCTGAAATAAAGGGAAATAAACAAGATTCAAATGTCACATTTTTAATATCTTCTTCAATTCAAGTTTTAATAATGTTTCAGAGATATGTTAGTGCTTCAGAGAAATTAAAGTTTTGGAATATCACTCCAAAAGGAGGTTCAAATTGTCTTTCAATATCCTCAGAAGAGTCAGAGGATTCAATATCTATTTGTTTAGATTCTTCTTTTTCGTCATTTGATGAAACTCCAGTAGATAAACTGTCATCCTTTTTCCAAGGAAAGTAAGCTCTAAAAATATAGGAAAATAATTTTTAAAAATAACTCGATTAACAAATGCGTAATTGTGAAATCGTAGAGTTGAATAAAAATATAATAAGGATTTGATTCTTACCCCTGTCTTCTCAGTTTTAGATCTTCAATCAATACTTTTATTGGATCAGGAATAGTTTTTTCAAAACTCTTCTTTAGCTTGTAAGTATTGATTCTTGATATATTTAATGTCTTCTCTGCTATAATTCTCCAATCTTCTACTCCTTTATCAAATTCTTTCATAACTATAATAACATAGGGATAATTACCTGCCCAAATATAGTTCTTTTTCATGTGAATTCTAATAATATTTTCTATAGTATAAGTATGAACAAGTCAAAATAAGTACCTTCTAAATCATTGCTACTACTGACACCTTTCACTTCTTCATAATTCTGACTAATTTCTTGTGGCTTAGAATTTTCTACTATTGGTTCTTGATATAATTGATGCAAGAATTATCCTCCAGTCTCTAAATTTTAATGAATCAGCACTCAATGTATAAGAAGGAAGTTTATACAAAAAAAGCAAATTAGGAATATTTTAGAGGAATTAAAAATAATTTAGTTAAAGAAAGGTTTTATTAGTTTTACTACCTTTTCCATAGACGGTACTACACCCATTGTCTTTTCTTCTTCATAGTTTTTCAGATCTTTGTTGGGATTTTGATATTTGGATTTTTCATCAGTTAAAGAATGCTTGCCATTAGATCTTTTTCCGTTTGAATTCATTTTTTTATCTCTCTTCTTTTCTTTACCTTTGGACACTACAAAATTGTTAATACTTCGAGCATAGGAGGAATTTCATGGTTCAGTTAGAAATTTTATTAAATTTTAATGAAATTTTTGACAATATGCCAGGTTAAATGAGAGTACTTCAATCTTTTGTCTCTTTAAAAGTACTCTTTTCACAAACTACTTTTAATATGAATCTTCTTCATTGAACATTAGATAAGACCTTTGATTAGTTTTATGCGAAATTTTCTTAAAAATTTACTATATTGATTCATATATTCTACAAATTAGCGTTTATTATCTATATTTTGACTTCTTATCAGTCTATTTTCTCATAACCTTATTCCCAAAGATTATTTATTTCAAGAATTCAACATTTTAGGGTTCACAGAATAAAGAGTTTAACCAAAAAAATTGTTCTTTTGCTAATTAATGTGCTTAAAGTAATAATAAAGAGGCTAAATTCTTCACCCAATACCCCAATTTCTTCACTCAAATTTTAAACTTTACTGCTTTCTACCAGTGCAGTCCCAAATGTCTTTGGGAATATATGGATGGTGGAGTTTTGGAGGGTTAGGATTCGGATGCTTACTTTTTTCTGAAGGAATTCTAGGGTTTTCTTGGAAGGCGTTGCTCTTGGTGGGGTTTTGAGGTGGGTTTTGGGAGAGTTTTAGAGATTGAGAAATTGTTTGGGTCTTGGGGAATGAAAGAAGTTTTTGACTGTAGGGATTTGGAGTTTAAGGGAATAAGGTTATTTTTGGAGTGGTGAATGTCTTTAGGAGTGGACCTGCTTGGTATGCTTTGTAATTTCTTTTCTTCTTCAAGGTTTGGGGTTGGAGAAGTGCTAGAGGTTCTAGAATCTATAGGAATTTTGGTAGTATGAGTTTTAAGAAATTATTCAGGAAATTGGTAACACTCTAGATTATGTATGAAAATAATTATGCTAGTGACCCTAATGAGCGAATGGAATTGGCTGTTCTAACGTCTTGCATTTACGAAGAAATTCGGTACTTTTGCAAACTCTAATTTTAGCAGGATAAAAATAATAGGCATGAGTATCTAAAAATTTTGTCTTTTTATGTAAACAGGAAGAGTTTCAATAAACGAGAAGCAAATATTCAGAAAATGAGTATTCTGAGATAGAAAGACTTCAGTTCAGACTTCCTGAGGTAAGCTCAAGTTGCTCTTACTTATTATCATTACTTAGGCAACTGAACAGTATATTCTAAGTTATTTAATTGGTTAAAGTGTAGAAAATTTCAACAATTTCTAGAACTCTGTTTGAAATTAAAATTTTGTCAATTTTGAAAAACACTCCTTAATCTCTCTATTTAATTTTATTTCAGAAACAGCACTTTTAAAAAGCGTCTTATTTTTAAAAGTTGACAAACATGAATTTGAGACAATATGTGCTATGAAATATCGTATTCTAAAGGACATAAAACTTCTCATGCTTTAATTCTGAAAATCTAGGAGGTAAATAATCGTAAAGAAGGATCAATTTTCTAAAACCATGTTTACTTCTAAGCTTTCTTGGCTTAAACTGTGAAAAATTAGCATTTTGCATCTGAAAGTAAAGTTGGTAGTAATAAAAGAAGAAAGATTGCAAATTCACCACCCTCTTCTATTTCTCAACTTCCACTATGCTCAGGATCATTTCTGTGGCCGGATAACCCAAGCTTCTAAGTTCTTAATTTACAGTAAAATTTGAAATAAAAAACTACACAGCATCCTGAATAATTCAGAGAAGAAGGGTCGATATCCTTATGCCTTCTTTATAGGAGGCCTCTTTATGAGTTAAAATAAGAATCGTGTGCTTACCTGAACTTTTATCTGAAGATTCACCAACTTTGTTCTCTTCTTTGGAGGATGAATTTGGGAATTCGTTTGATGAAGGTTTCTCAGAAGAAGAGCTAAAGATAGAGTTAAAAATAGCCAAGAGTATTTTTAAATCAATATTGAAGCCAAGAGAATGCTTTATCCCTTGTGCTTAAAAATTGTGATAGTTCAATGTTAATGGAGAAGAAATAATTCAGAAAATAGGTGAAGCTAGTAGTTTCTTGTTTGTAAATGAACAATTGTATTACTTTGAAGACTCTGAGCCTTGAGAAATTTCTTCTTTCTTTTCCTCAACGAGTTTATTTTCTAAAATTTGGAAGTTATTTTTAATATTAAGTTCTTAAAGTAAAAATCTGATGACTAAACAAAGGCTACAATATCAAAAATTATTTTGTTTAAATTCGAATTTCATATGATAACTATACACTATGTCTACAGAAGAAAAATTATTGTAAAATCTGAGTGAATAATTTTTAATACAACTTTCTATTATTTTTCGTTGCAGATTTGATATACCTGCCAAAATTGTTAAAAATGTAGAAAAATCTATTTTTGGAGTAAAAGTTTACCTTGATTATTAATCTCAGAACCCTTATGTTGGTCACTTTTCATTTCTCATGATTCATCTATAGGAAATTTTAATTTTGTTTGATAGTGGTAAGCCTTATTCCGACACTTACTTTCATTCATACTTGTTGATCTCATCATTAAACAAACAGCTACTCCTCAGCAAAAGAGAATCATTAATTCAAGGATAATATCCTGACGAGCCACATCCCGTTGGCTTCTAATATTATCCAAGAGATGAGTTTCCAAATTCCAGAAATGATATAAGAGCTTGCAGCCAATCACTATCAGAGGAATCATCATATATCGTGCCAACATTTTTATTTATTATTATTCAATCACCATCTCTCCATTTGGGGTTTTGGGGTTTTGGGGTTTTGGGGG